AAAAACGACACACCGCCAGATTCTGTTCAAATATTTAAATACTACGTTGCTGTCGATCATGACAAATGGGACAATAAAGCGAAAACGTTAGCAAAAATTCTGAAATGACTTTGAACGCAAAATGTACAAGGAAGAAGAAACGATTTGGATCCGAAATTCCAATAACAATTACTGAGTTCCGGTTTTACGCTGTCAATGCACAAAAATAAAACGGAACTTAAGCCAAAATTTTAGAGTACGGCTCTTCGGAAGCTAGTCTAAATTTGATAATTCTGCATTTAATCTGCGCATACTAAAAATAAAACAACAGCACCTTCAAAATCACTGTAACGACAGAGCAAGTAAAAACCAATAAAATTATGGATAGTTCAACTAATGACTGCTTACCATTCGCAAGGTTGTAAGGTTCGAAAAGATTTCAGGGAAGAATCCATGCCTCCGAAATCCCACAGCTTCACCTCATAATCATATCCACCTGAAGCCCATCGCGCGCCAGCCGAATCAAAGCCAAGCGCCGAAACCTGAAAACTTATTTAAATCTAAAATTCTTGTAGATCCGTCCTTCGATGTTTACCGGTTTACAGCCATGAGTCAAATCTGCTTCGTGCGAAATGGGAATTCCACCAGTAACCTAAAAACTAAAAAAATTCACATCTGGTTGTCACCTTGAATTCATATAGACTCTGTGCTGCCTTCTTGCAAATGAGTTGGTAGGATTCGAAAACTGTAGTCACAAGTTACCGCAGGTTTATACCATTATTTTACTCCAAACATGTCAATAGCGTGATAATTACAGCAAACAATGAACTGAACTGACATAAGCAGTAGCACATGAACTAAATAGGAAGTAGTTGCGAGGTGAATCGCAGCTAGTAGATACTGCAACTTTAAAAGTGCCGTGATCGAGTCCCAGCGTAGTGTAAAACGTTCTTGTTAAGTCGCTAATTTTCCTGAACAAGGAACTCTACTCTGCTTCGCTGCAAACGACCAAAAATTGAGTATAGTCCTTTGCGAGCAACAGAAACGGCTTTGCGCCCTGGAGAGGTAATACAAAGTAGAAAGACACTTCCAGCAACCCTCTCCTATCTGCGCCGCTTACGGCTGCAATTTTCCTTGATCCAACTGACTAAAAGTCCACACGAGGAATAAACAGAATATAATAAAATTTATAATTTAAGACTACCTTTGCTGTCAGCAAATAA